GCTACAATGAGGAACTTGTAACTCATATATTTCAAAATAGTCTTGATTATATTGGGCTAAAGTACCATTATTCAGGTGGAAAAGACTGGAAATATCTTCACTAGTTGGCCCAGCATTCTCACATGTTAGTATTAGCACCAATCCCCCTGATACCATGTGACATGTGACAGGTTATTGGGATTATCCCATCTGAGGGATAATCCCACTATGGTACATGGTCTGATACCATGGGAAAATCCCAGAAGGGTGGTATTATTCCGCTTCTGGGATGATCCCATCCTTGCTGGAGCACTTGGGATGATACCAGGAAAAACAAGCTCTTAGCTTTATACATTTACACAGATAGTTGAAGCTAAATGCTTATGTTTTGGGGGTGACTGAAGTGTGCTACTCGCTACAGTATAATGACTTCTAGGAGTACAATGGTGACTCCATGGAGTGGTGGCTATGCTCCATGGAGAACAATGGCTGCTTTAGCAGAGACCAGGTTTATCAGGTTTTGTCACTCCCACTTGAGTGCAACCATAGTCCCATAGCTTTAGAGAATTCCCAGTGTTTTTTGTGAGTGAGGGGTTTAGTGAGAATGTCGGCAACCATATCTCCTGTAGGAACATATCTGATTACTGCCTCTCCCTTTGATACTAAGTCATCTCAGATAAAATGATGTTTCTGTTGAGTATGTTTTGTGCGAGCATAGAACTGCGGATCTCGTGTAAGAATGATAGCTGCTTGATTGTCACAGTGCAATGTTGTAGGTCCATTTTGAGCATGTCTCATTTCTTCAAGGAATGTCTGAAGCCATGCAAGGCGTTAACCAGCATTGCTCAATCCAATGTACTCTGACTCTATGGAGGATAAAGTGACCATGCTTTGTCTTTTTATTGTCCAGGAGATTGCTCCTCAGATGGTGATAAAGACAAAGCCTGATGTTGATTGAGATGTGTCTGGGTCTCCAGACCAATCCGCATCCGAATATCCATAGAATTCCAAGTATTTATTTTGCTTCTCCAAGGTCCCGCATTTTGAATATGGATTCAAGTTTGGCTTTTGTGATTTCCATGAATTTTTGGGATGAAGCTCCTAGGAGGAGGTCATCTACATAGACAACAACAAAGCATATTTATTTGTTGTCCCAGAATACATAGAGACATATTTCTGCATCTAGTCCTGTGAAACCAAGCTTCTGGAGCTTGCAATCAAAGGTTTGTTCCATGTACGACCAGCTTGTTTTAATCTGATGGATCTCGGACATCAGGAAAAATGGGGGTAGCTATATAGAGCTCTATAGCACTATAAGTACTTATAAAGCTATTATAGTGGTCAAACTTGCTATAGAACCTCTGCCATCTATAGAGCCTCATTTAGCTCTATAAATGCTCTTATAGATGTTGATGTTGGAAATTATTGTGTGGCTGATAAAAAAAATTAACACAGACAGGATTTGAACTTTCAACCTGTAACTCAGCTTTTGGGTGATTAAGCAACCTATAGTCACACATCACATTTATCCACTACACCATGAGAGCTTATAAAATGTATCATACAGGTGTTATATATTGACCTTTTATGGACTTAGATTATTTTTTACTCATTCTCACTACTTATATTTGGATAAATCATTATTCTTATTTTGTGAGTATCAGGGATACAAACTACTATTTCACTAATACAGGCTGCATAATTAATTAATACTGTATGATTTATTAGTCCTTTTAAGCACCTTGAACTATATTATAACTATGACCTTTACAGCTATAGGAGCTATGTAGGCTGCTATAGGCTATAAGAGCACTTATAGTGCCTTGCCTATAATAATATATTTAACTCCAAACACTTCTGGTCTCTTTCTATTATTGAACAAGTTTATTAGATTAATCCAGAGTTTGAGGGAATTATAGATACTTCTCCCCTTGGTTAAGATTTTGCCTACTGCTATGCTATAAGAGCTATAAAAGCTATGATTGCACTGATAGTACTATAGTTTCTATGAATGCATTTATATATATCGGTGGTGGCTATATAGCAACAGGTTTTTCCTGATGTCTTCAACCTCCAGCAGTATCCAGGTTGGATAGGTACGCCCACTGAAGGAAGCATGTACAGTTCTTCTTCAAGTTCTCCATTGAGATAAGCTGTGGATACATCCATTTGATCAAGTTCAAGGTTGTACTTTGCTGCCAGGGCTAGAATAATTCAGATTGACTCCAAGTTTGCAACCAGAGCAAAAACTTCCTGGCAATTAATCTCCTCCCTTTGAGTAAAACCTTGTGCAACAATCCGGAGTTTGTATTTCTCGACATTTCTGTTTTGACTAAACTTAATCCGGAACACAGGTTTTGATGTGATAGGTTTTACTCCCTTTGAAAGTGGGTTAGTGTCATATATTGCATTAATATTGAGACTTAGGAGCTCCTCTTCCAAGGCAGACTTCCATAATTCTCTATCCGGACGTGATAAGGCTTCCTATAGTGTCCCTGGAAGGTCTGTGTTAGATAGACCAGTACTTGCTATTCCAGCAAAGAATGTCTCCTCTGTATCAGATATTTCTTCATGAACCTCAGGAGTGTTAGGTTTCTCCATGGAGTTGTCATGCTGCTCTTTTCAAGACTGTTCCTCATCTAGAGTCCTTTGATAATCTCGGTTTTTGTCTGCAGGACAAGTCTGGCGACTGCTTTTGCTTACTCCTGGGACTTCAGCAGGCATGACTGCTCTTTTAGGAACTTGTGCAGGTACTCCAGGGAGTAGACACATTTGTGTGTGTGTTGCCCCACTCACTCCTGAAGGTGTTGAATATCTCCTTGAAAGGTGTTGTATGCCTTCCAGAAGCTGATCCAATAGACAGGCTGTCTAGCCGTATCCGGACTTTTTCCACATCAGCTGGCTGTATGTTGAGAAGCTGTCCTCCCACTGACTGTGACTCTACTTTGGGTTTCCGTTCTGAATATGGACAGTGTTCTGGTCTTGGTTGTAGAGACTGTTGTGGAGGGTGTCTTAGCTGATCAGGTGCTCCCACTGCTCTCGGAACGTCTCCACGGAGGTATTGCCCCACTGCTCTCGGAACATCTTCATGATGATATGGGGTCCTGATGCTGGGCTGCGTGCTGTGATATATGCAGCTGTTTGCATGGCATCTACCCAGAATGACCTTGGGAGCTTGGAATCATGGTGCATAGTGGTTGCTAATGTAGCCAATGTCTGATTCATGCGTTCTGCAATGCCATTTTGTTCCGGAGTATCTGCAGCTGTAGTTTCTTGTATGACACCATCTCCTCAGAGTTGATTTTTTAATGCATTGTCAGTATATTCTCCTCCCCCATTGCTCTAGAGGAATTCTGTGTACGGTGGAGTGAAGTTTTCTTCTCCCAAATGAGTCCAGAAGAATGTTTGGACATCTTCTTTCCATTGCTTGTATTGTTCCAGTGTTTCACTTTTGTGTTTTAGGAAATATATCCATGGAAATTTGGAAAAATCATCTACAATAATAATCCAGTACCGAAAACCCTCCCTGGAGGTTGGTTTGACTGATCCTCCAACATCTGTGTGCACAATTTGTATGGGGCGCTTGGCTCAGTTTCCTTCAGTGGACTTGAAAGGTAATTCCCCCATCTTTTCTAAAGCACAAAGCACAAGGTTCACAGAACTCCGGGGTTCCGGTAAAGGTGTCTATTTCCTGGAGCTGTCCTTTTGTAACCATCCATTGCAAGCAGTCCATTCCAATCTGTCCCATTCTCCTGTGCAATGCATTTACATCTACTGCTACAAAAGCTGACTCCGGGTTGATTTTGGGTTTTGCTTGGATGTGATAGAGTCCTCGCTTGTGTGAGGCAGTGAGGAAAAGTTCCTTCTTTTTCTGAACTTCACAAGTATTTGACCCTGCTGGAAAAAGTGTTGATAACCCCACTTCAGACAATTTGTGGACAGAGACGGGTGCTAAAGTGAAGTTTGGCACAAGTAAGACATTTGACAGTGCAATATTGTAGTCTTTTTTGCCAACAGTTGCTTGTAGGATTACTGTTCCAATGTCAATGGCATTTACAGAGGATTTAGAACATGGTGGGAGGCAGGTGGAAGTGTAGTGAGGGCTTTGAGTACAGTGGATAGAGGTATGACTGATCATTGCATTCCCTTCTTTTTCCAGTTCTATGGCAATCCATGCATCAGTACTTAGGAGTCCACACAGTCCACACAATCTGCATTGCAGATACTTAGCATCCACATTTTTGGACACCTCAAGTCTGCACTTTTCAGACTTTGGACCTGTTAGATGAAGGAGCTAATTTAGCATTCCATGCACATGCATGCCTCCATATGGACTCTAGAGCATCAGGATTGTCCATGGATCAACAATACCTTCCTTTTATGGATTGTAGGAGCTATTCCTCATGATATGAGACAGGATCATTCCAGTACAATTTGGATAAATCCCAGTGGGGGATAAGATCATTTGTGTTAAATCTAGACAGTCACAGTAGGGAACGGGATCATTCCCATTAAATCCAAACATATCCCCACTATACTATGGAATCATCCCTGCACAGTCTAGGATCATTCCCATTAAATCTGGACATTTCCTCACCATACCATGACTACATCAGCCACATCATGTACTGGAGCATCAGATGTCCTATGCCACTCTCTATTCAATGGAAAAACGACTTAGATTCCAAGATAGTCCAATCAGACACCACCTACAGATAGTGCCAGATTGGGATTGAGGATAGATGGTGTAGTTATCATCTCTTCCAGAAAGGTCTTACACTGCAAGACAGACAAGACAATCTAGTAATTTTGAGCCTCACAAGAACCGAGGGCCTTCATGTACGTTAGCCACAGGACCAAGTTAGCACACTTCCATGCTAACATTTTTTGGTGAAAATGTTACAGAATAATTTTGTAGATCTACATTTCTAATTACCTAGATCACAGCGCGAACCCTGAGAATAATACCAAAGAATAAAGCTAGCAAGAATCCTACGCCTGTGACTACTTTTATTGGAGTCCTAGACAGTATCTGAGGTGTAAGGCCCGTGGATTGATCTGTATAACCATAATGGTGTGACATTGTATTCAATTCACAGTTACCTTCAATATACATTGAGGAACACATTTAGTTCTGTGGTTTCCCAAAGATGAACAGATGCGGTGGTTCCTGTTTTGGAAGTTCTGCTAGCTATCCTACCGACATGGTGGATAGGGTTATAGTGAGCCTGGAAACGCAACAATGGTAAGTTCACGTTCACAGTCAACCAGAGATTGTCCATACTGCTAATGTGCACGTGATCTCCGCTGTTGTGTGTTGTGGAAGAAAAAGTTAATGTGAAGCACCAATGGTAATTATGGAACTGTACCAGGATGGTGGAAACTATGTAACATACTTCCGGTCCTGGCTCAAGTTATACTTCAATGAGAACAATAGTATTGCTGTTGGTATTTGATAAACATCTACACCATCTAGCTGATTCGGAATGGCAATGCACATTTCCTCAGGAGATATATCTGCGTGCCCACTATATCAAAAGACATTGAGCCTATACTCAAAGGTGATAATATTAGCTCACATTAAGGTTTGTAAAGGTATCATCCAGCGAATAACACTATTGTTTACATCCCAGCGTCTGTACAATGAATCTGTTGAGATTACTTGAGGTTCCAGACCTACACAACATACATCACTCCCTGCTGAAGATAGGTGGCGAGCAGGCAGCCTGCATTATTGCCATAGTGAAGCAAATACAATAATGTGACAATGGTTGATTCTTGCAAAGTTATAGTTGCTGAACGAGGTGAGAGGAGATTGCAATGATGCAATAACCATATCTTTGGGCAATGCACTCAGTTTGATGTGTATGTGCCAATCATAAAATCTTACCTCGTGCAATATATTTCCATATCTTCAATTCATGTTTCCCCCCTGTAGCCAACCAAGTTCCTGAATGATCAAACACCAAATGTTTGACCAGATTATCATGGACATGAAAACCGATGGTTTCAAGCTTATTCTACCAAAAATCTGAGTGAGGATTGGCAGAAGAATATAGAAAAATCCAGCCTATTTGTACCTCTTTAATGACGACACATAGAATTCTCCCGTCTCCGAATCCACACCAAACCTCATGTTGTCAAGATGATGTCCACAACAGTGAAAGAACTCTGGTGCAACACCAAATAATATGCATACAATGTCCAGTGCTAGCGTTAGAGATTACCATTGTACCATCCATACTAATGCTAGCAAGATAAAGACCATCAGGACTGAAACTAAGGCAGTCTACCGAGTCGTCGTGTTGGCACCATTTTTCGTGATACTTGAGTGGCATTGTGATTGATAGTGGTAGACTTAGTGATGCTTGAAGTGATGTGACTTCTCATGTCACTGCTACCTATTCTTGTACAAATCTCCTGTGGTCGGTGCGGTACCAATGGGCCTTTGTTGTAAATATCACAAAAGAGCACATGAGCATCTTGGAGGAACTCCGCTAGGAGATTGCTCATGATCAGATATCTCTTGCTTCAAAACCTCACCTCCCATCTAAGTTCTTGCACACCATGGCCAAGACCAACAAAGATCCAAATTCACTCACAAATATTCTGTTCGCAGAATTTCACTCAGAAATTCTGACGTCTCCTGGAAAGATTAGAGATGTAAAGCTTATCAATGTCTCTGCATAACCACCCAGGGATTTTACCGTGATGTTCTGCCAGCACTTCAAGCCCATAACTGGCCAAGTACACCCTGCACAAAAACAGACAATGCCACAAGTAGATGAGTTTTCAGGTCATCATCAAAGGTTCTTACTTTTCCCCTGATCTTAACTTTGATTTTCAATTCATTCTCTAAGGTTCTCTCCTGCTCCCAGTCCCAGATCTGCTCGTAGTAGTGTGACATGCAAATCCAGTGCAATAGTAAGCTAGAATTGCTGCTCCTTGAAAATAGACTAATCACAGCTTGACAGCCTGACCATGGCAATGGCAATCCTGTCAATATCCAAGTTATCCATGCACAAAGTAGTGGGCAGGTGTGATTTTATCAGCATATTTGTATTACCAAAATGTTTAGTCTTTCAGGTAGCTGATGATGACACAAAGGACATTCCTCTTCTCCTTCAGCGGAATATCCGCAAGACAGCACACCTTACCTATGCATAGTTCAAAGCAGCCGGACCCAGTCCTATTCCTTCCCTGCTTAATTTTTCCTCACCTACACCTCCAAAAGTTGGTAATCTTTTTGTCTACACAAATGGCTCACAAGTGGCACGAGGTCCAGCCTGTGGCTCTGCCACTGGTGCAATGTTTTTGTGAAATGATAAATAATAATAATAATAATATCACTGTTAAGTGATCAAAATGTTAAGTGAATTTATGCTGTCTGTAATGTATGTTAAGTCTTTAAATCCTATGACGCATGTTTGACTTGCAGTTCTGTCGTTGAATATCCTTATAAGCCTGCCCTAAACTTGTACACAGTATACTGAATTCAAGCAGATAGTTCATTGAATCTTTACAAATATCAACATATATTGTAATGTAAAAAGTCTATGCTATTACATTGATAAATTGATGAGAAATAAAAAAAGAGACTCCAGAAATGGTAAAGGATGAAAATATGATCTGAGAATAAAACACTTTAGTAAAAAGGGTGAGAATTGCAGAAAAATCTACTTGCCAGTCAAGGATAAAGCGAGTCTGAATTTTGGGATACACCACATTGACGGTATGTCTGTCATTTGAACCACGTGGAAATAGCACTTTTATTCTCTCTTTTGAAGTGCAGCAAGACAATGTAATGTAAAGTTTCCCATGCAAAAACCCTGGAACAGGTAAATCCAGTCCAACCTATGTCACTGATTGCCCTTGAGACTTGTTGATGGTCATGGCAAAGGCAGCATGGACAGGGAATTGACAATGTGATAGCTTGATGGGCAATTCTTCCAATGAAGGTTCCAATGTGAGGCGTGGAATAAAAGTAAAAGCTACCTTTCCTGCATGTTTTCCTCCCAAGACATGGCACTTCAATACTCTTCTCTTCATCTCTATCACAATCATGCATGTTCTATTACAGAGTCCATTTAGGGGATCAATATTGCGGAGGAGCATAAGTGGACATCCAGCTTTAATTTTGAGGTGCGCTTCAGGAACGCCAGATACTTGCAAGGAGTTCAAGAATTCCACAGGATAATTTTCATGCCCCTCTCCAACCACTTTATCAATTGACAGAGCTACTAACTCTATTCCAGGGAATCTTGTGAGGATTGCTGAATTCAGGTTGCTAACGACATCATTTTTTGTGGAGAGGATGGTGCGGTGGAGGAAATAATAGTCATCTTGGTCTCCATTTGCAATTCCAGGATAGGTAGTGTCTACCAATGAGTCTATGGTGTTTTCTGGCATAAGCATGTTGGCGGGAAGCTCAATAGTTCCATCTCCTGCAATTCCACAACCACCACCAATATCCAGCTAGCAAAGGCTTCATTTCTGGAGTACGGTCCAGGCACATGTTTTGTGTGAGATAGCAGATATGGATATTTGTCCACAGTTGTGACCTTCTAAGAAAGGCAGAAATAATGCATTGCTTTGACCCTCTTGGAACAACAGGTGTTGTTTGGCGGAAGTCCCCTCCAAAAACCATTATAATGCCTCCAAATGGAAGTTGATTATCCAAAATGTCCCGCAATGTACAATCTAATGCTTTAATCCCATGACAGTTTTGCATTGGCGCTTCATCCCAGACGATAACTCCGGTATATCTCAATACCTCATGGAGGTCAGAGTTTTTTGGAATCCTGCATGTGGATGTTTCATGTACAGGAATAGGGATTCCAAAAGTGTGAATGAGCTGTGCAGCCACCCTCCAAGAGCAGGGATTCAATCTCAGAGGATGCTACACATAGAGCAACATTATGATTATCTCTTGCTCAAGCAGCAGCGGCAATTGTATTACAGAGATATGTTTTTCCCTTACCCTTACCTTCAGCACTATGAATAAAGCAAGTTATTCCCCAATTATGATAGATTGACTGTATGATGGTATCAAAAGCATTCTGTTGCTCTTGACTGAGCTACTCCATACTATCTTTAGAGTAATAATAATACAGTAAAATGATCAAATTTTATTTAGTCAGAAGTCAGTGAACTTGTGCTGTCTGTCCTTATAAACATGAGAATTTCAATGTGGCTGCAATTTTCACTGCATTCACTACTACTGTACTGCTGCTCCTGTGTTGCCACAAAAACCACGTGAGCAAAACTAAGCAAAATAACCAACGCAATGTGGCTCGCACACGGCATTTGGGACCATCATCCCCTTCGTTATAGATTCTGGTTTTGGCAACAGTCATTTCCACCTTCTAATGACTTGTTTTGGGCACCAATTGTGCTGGGGGACAGAGGTTATCTGGATAATGGATGTTCGGAACAAGTGTTAGTTCTTAACGCTGATGGAAAGCCCTCCTGGTTACTGCCAGAAACTTTACAGAAATATAAGCAGATGAATCAGCGCATCAATCGAACCTAGTGACTTTTGATGACAATCTTGTTGGTGATTATAGTAATTATCTCGGTGGTATAGCAGTTCTCAAGTGACGGTTTTGTTTTAATTATGCACATAAGAAAATAAAACAAGTGAAAGACTAGTGTTACAGACCAGAACACCAACCCTCCCTCGACAATCCTGTTTTTAAAAGTGGTATTCCAATCATTGTCAAGACCGTCATATTGGAAGCTGGTGAATGATCCCTGATTCTCGGAACTAACACCAAATGAGAATGATTATGAGAACCAGATGAAAACCAGAAATCACAATCACCTTGCACTGTTGATACTTACTTGCCGTTCTTGTGACTAAGGAGAGTATTCTGCTAGTTGAATATAGATTGGACGTGATCTGCAAACTGTGGGCCAATGGAGCTGGGGTATGAGACCGCAGAATTTGTGCTGGATGCAAGTGTCTGAGTAGTGTCTAGCATTACGTTGTTTAGAATTGAAAAGTGCTTGTAAAAACATACTAAACTGAAACCACATAATACTTCGAGTGAAGTGGCGCTTGGTTCAAAATCTTGAGGAGAATGAAGTTCAAAAGCTATGCTGGAATTCTGTGGACGTGAAGGAACTGATCCCAGTTGCGATTGAGGTGGAGCAAAAGTAAAAAATGTGGGGAGCTGAAGGGCTTTCATAACTGGGTATTCTATATTACCACCAGAAGATATTTGTGACTGCATTTGGCGGGTCTTTGGTTGTCTAGGAGTGATGGCTGGACCAATAATTGATGAATATGTTTCCCTAAGCAATCTGATCCTATGCTTTTCTGTGACATTGTTAGTGAAGTGCCTGTTTACCCTGACTTTCTTGACGGTACTATAGGATCCCATTGAACTGCGTCAAAATTTATAATTAGGATGTTGAGCAAGATGGGCAGCTTGAGCTTCTGTAGCTTTTTTATCCCAGCTTGCTTTCTCCTCAACTGGTAGCATGTTCCAACATTCACCTACTACACGGCTGAGATTCTGCTGTTGCCGCTCAATATGGGAAGGTATAATACCTTTTTTGAGAAAATCTGAGCAATAGAGCATAAATGCATTAGGAGGACGCCAAATGCGTGGCTAAGAACTTGACTGTAGGGCAGGCTGCAGAGCTTCAGACGCGTCAGGTATCAAACAAGATAGGGCAAGTATAGGTTTAATGTGCTGTCTTTTGACTGCATGTATTGCATTAGAATGATCCGGCAAAGTGTGGAATTTTTGACCTGATACTAGTAATTCTGTGCCAGAAGCAAATCAGACAATTATACTGAAGAATTGATCATAATGAACCACTTAAAGTCATGTTTTGGATGGGGGTCCCCGCTGGTGTTAGGACGACCTTTGGCCGTGGATGTTTGAAAGAAAAAATAAAAATCAAGTGAAAGGAACCTACGAATAAAATTAGCAAGTTTAGTATGTCTTAGAATATTTTCCCACATTTGGCAGTCACGCAAAGAAATCCGGCTGACTCAGCAATGGTTTGTGTAATACGTAATACTCATTCCCTATCTGGTCTTCGGTAAATCGAATCCAGCTACCATTGTTACATACATCTATTCAAAGTTTAAGAATGTCCTGTGCTCAATGTTAATGGTAAGTGACATTGAGTATTGAGTAGTGGCATTTCCACTCACCATAATCATCCTACAGTCGGTAACATTCCGCTTGAATTGAACATTCAAGTTGATGCCCTTGGCGAAACAGAGGTGTGTTCTGTTGTTCATCTATGTTCTCCATATCAGTAAAAAGCAATACTGATTGTTGGTAGCAATATACCTCAAACTAATGTTGTCCGCAAATTGTGCGTGATCAGAGGGCCAGATAAAGGGTGGCCAGGTGATTGAAGAATAGTAGCGGTCAGTGGGAGGGTAGTGGTGGGTTCAGTGGGTGAAAGAGTGATCACACGGTATGAAGGAGAGTTGGGTGACAAAAGGGTGCGCAATGGTGGCGCTAGAGAGGAAGTTTGGGATGGTGATAGGGTCGCTGGCAAGAGGCCATGGGCAGACACTATTATGTGGGTAGTCGTGCTAGAGATATTTATGATGGTGGCTTGGTTGTGGGGTAATGTTAGACAGTCATTCAAGACACAACCTGCCATGACAATATATCAGCAATAATGTAGAAATCAGAACGGATGACATGCCTTCTTACGATGGTTTTGCATGTTGTGCACAATACCAGCGGAGGTGACAGCAAAAACACACCAATCATTACATGAGTAAAGTCAGTCATGAAGGAACTTGATTCTAGTAAAGATCCTTGAGTTCCTCATTCACGCCCTTTAGGCCATTGATAGATGAATTTAATGTCTTGATTTTTGTTTGGTTGAAGTCTACAGCTTCACTGACATGATCATCCTGTTTGGCTGCATAGTATGCCTCGGTTCTGTTCTGCATGGGATGGCAATAGATAAATAAAATCATATTAATGATTTAGAACAAACCTTCAGCTCTGCAAGATCAATGGTTTACTTTATTTATAAAAAAGAAACGGTTCTGTTCAGTAATATATCCAGTTTTAATGCAAAAGCAATGACTTGCCCGGAAGCTATTTGTATTCTGTTTCCAAGGCTCAGAGGCGGCCCTCCAACCCATCCAGGGTGGTATATCCTTTCATACATGTTCAAATACGCATGTCACGAACCTTCCAATTTATGTTCCAAGGAAGCTCCTTATCCAACTATTGTCCAAGGTTCCAAAGGATTCGCTTTTCAGTGCGCCGGATCTAGTGTTCCTTGACTGAATGGTGATGAGAAAAATAGAATGTGAGCGTGAACTCTCGGCATTCATTGTTAGTTTTGGTGATTCTGCACCTTTGTGCTACCTATATATTTTCATTCCTTTCTCTATCTGTTCTTCTATCATTCACTATTGATTGTGTTCTCTATTATTTCGCCTTTGTGGCTGCTTTGTTTACCTTTGTTTACAAAACTTCGGACAGTACTGCAGAGTCCAATGCTTCCTATTCTCTAGTTACTCACATTGGACTCTAGGTACTGTATACCTGTCATACTCTCTAATAATAAAGTTACTCACATTGGACTCTAGTTCCAGTCCCTGATTGCTCTCAGCAAGTGGCTAGACACTTCCTTCAAGCTTTGTTCTTAATAGGTTATGAGCCCTGTGCTCTAGCCATCTTCCTGACCTCATATCTCACCATCCAAGCGTCCTACTGCTTATCCATCGTAACCATCGTCTTCTGGGACTCTTATTATCTCATCCATCACCTCAGGTTGCTCTGATCTCATCTTGATCTCCAACAACAACTCCTTGTTGCAAGTTACCCCCATTTCGGACGCTTTTTTGGTCTTATCTGCACCATATCTCGCCCAATCCTTATCTGATCATCCTGTAACTTCTACCATCGTCTTCTACGGCCTAAATAACCCTAGGAGACCTGTCAGAGCGGTTGGATTTGAGCTGGATCTTTCTGTGAGCCTTCATCATCGTTTGATCACCTTTTGGCCCTCTATTCCATATCTCCACATCCTGTGCTCGGATCTTGGCCCTATTTGAGCCATCTACTACCCTATACTATTGCACTTTACACCCTCAATTTGGGGGCAATCCATCCACTCCATCCTCCTCTGTGAAGTTCGCATTTTTGGCACTTTCACCCCTATTGGACCCCTATTGCATATCTCCACATCCTGCGCTTCACTTCTTGTGATATTTGGGCCATCTATTACTCTATAAAAATGTTCCCTATACCTCTGATTTGGTGGCAATCCATCCATCTTATCTGTCTCTGCATCAATTTCGACTTTTTGCCCTATTTGTCGCTTTTTGGCATATCTGGTGTGTGCATAAAGCTCCAATCTTCTCTACTCTGTCCATTATCAGATAGAACAAGCCTATAGACTGTGAAGCTCGCCTGCATTGCCTCAGTTTGCTGTTGCCTAGAGCCTCTCTCAGTCTGCGGTGTTTGGGGAGCTTAAGTCACTTTGTTGACTCATATACAAGTCCTATTAACCAACACTGTCTCGAGGCAATTTCTCTGTTAATATCAGTGTGGAATTGAAAGGGGAACACAGGTGTAACCCTGTAGCAGCACTAGGAAGCCTTAGCACCCTCCTGGATCGCTTTTGGACGCTTTTTGGACCCTATTTGGACCTATCCTTGCGCTTTCTGACCCTCTCCATATCCTCTCTCTACCGCCTCACCATCTTATCTGCTCGCCTCCTACTGTTGCCCATTGTCTTTGCCACTATTCCATCGCCTATAGCCGTCTCCTACATTATTTATCATTGCTCTATTGTCTTATACAACACCCGTCATGTCTGACTCTGATCCCAAGTTCCATCCCTTGTCTGGCACTAACTACCCCCAGTGGAGTGGTGAAATGCAAGCTTGGTTGATGACCAAGGGACTGTGGAGGCTCGTCTCTGGCGCTAAAAAGTGTCCTGGGACTGACGCTGAAGCAATAGAGAAATGGGAGTTGAGAGCTGAAAAGGCTGCTGGTGCATTATACCTCAATGTCACCAAAGAGCAGCACATCCATCTTGATGGCGTCATTGATGATCCTGTCAAGATCTGGGAGAAACTGGCAATTGTGCACGTCTCCAAGAAGCCTGGGACGAGATTTAATGCCTATGACGACTTCTTCTCTATCAGAAAGAAGGAGGACGAGTCCCTGCAGTCTCTCATGACCAGAATTGACGAAGGCATGCATCAGATTCAAAATCTTCGTCCTACTGGCTTCTCATTGTCTGAATTGGACGATGAATTGACATGCATGGCCATGATTAGGGCGCTTCCTGATCAATATGCCCACTTCACTTCATCTCTACTACTTCTGGGCACCTTGGACAAGACCCAGCTCAGGGATGCTTTCCTTGCTGAAGAGGTCAATCACCGTCGTCGTGCTGAAGTCGATTCTGCCTTGCATTCTTCGTCTACCACTGCCAATAGCACCTGCACCCATCCTAACTGCCATCATTGCAACCAATCCACCACCTCTACTCGCGTTCAGTGTGATTTCTGTGGTTTACTTGGTCATACTCAAGACAAATGCCACAGATACATTGCTAGTCGCCAACAGGCAGTGGAGGGTGCTAAAAATTGCTACAAGCATGGCAATAAGGCTCAGGCAGGCTCTAGCAACTCTCAGAATACCTTTTAATAGCCCAAATCTTCGCCCAACAATGTAAATTCATCTACTGTGATCACTGAATCAGCTGGAAATGCAAGTCTTCATTCCATTCATCCCTCTGATCCTCATTGCCCTCTCCAACTTGATGCTGACATTGATTGGAATGCAAACACAGGCGCCACTTCTCATATGACACCTCATCGTCATTGGGTGCACCACTATACCCCATATTGTGTGCCAATCAAGCTGGCTGATCACACTGTTGTCTATTCAGCTGGTGTTGGTACTGTGGTGTTTAATCCTGTGATGAATGGCAAAGTGGCTAGGGCTGTGGAATTCTCTAGAGTGCTCCATGTACCAGATCTTTGAAATAATCTCCTCTCAGTCTTGTATTGAACTCGTCAAAGTGGTTTCAATGTCACTATTTCATCTCATTCCATGTCCTTTATGCGTGACAACACTCTCTTGTTCACTGCAACTATCAATGACAACAATGCAGCATTCCTTGATGGATCTACTGCTGCTTGTGTTGAAGTGGGACATTTTACTGCGACTATACCACTTGATTTGATGCTCTGGCATCGCAGATTAGCTCACCACCATCATGCTGATGTCAAGAGACTGATACAGAGAGATCTGGTCACTGGGCTTACACTGGAATCCAAGGCTGCTCCTGATCCTGTCTGTGAACCGTGCTTGTCTGGCAAGATGCATGCCAATCCATTCCCCTCATCTGATACTCGCTCTGCTCATCCTTTGGACCTCATCCATTCTGATGTACACCAAGTCTCTTCCCCCACATTCTCTGGTTATTGCTACTGGGTCACCTTCATTGACGATCACAGTCGATTCCGTGTTGTTGTGCCTCTCAAGGCCAAGTCAGATGTCTTTGATGCTTTCAAGAGATTCAAGGCTTATGCTGAGACTCAATTGGAGCGTAAAATCAAGGCTCTGCACGATGACAAAGGGGGAGAGTACATGTCCAAGGAATTTGAGCAATTCACAGATGACCATGGGATTGTCAGACAGCATACCACCAGGAATCGTCCTCAGCAGAATGGTGTGGCAGAGCGAGCAAACAGACTTCTGACTGAGCGTATCACTGCCATGTTATCAGAGTCTGCATTGCCTAACAGCTTCTGGGGTGAATGTCTGTCCGCTTTGGTGCATGTCTGGAACAGGTGTCCCACTGATGCAGTGGCCCATGCCACTCCATTTGAGTTGTGGTATGGATGCAAGCCTGACATGTCTCACCTTCGCGTTTGGGGCTGCACTGCCTATGTGCATGTGCAAAAGGACAAAAGAGGCGTCTTTGGCTCTCATATGGAGAAATGCGTGTTCATTGGTTACCATGAGGGGTACAAGGGATGGAAATTCTACAATCCTACCACCAAGCGCACTGTTATCTCTGAGAGAGCTGATTTTGATGAGCGCTACTTCCCTGGCTTGAAGAGGTCTTCTGACAATGTCCCACCTCCACCTCCCACTCCACCTTCGCTATCCATGCCATTGGGCCTGATTGAGGATGTCCCTGCACCAGGTCCAGGGGGAGATATGGGCCCACCAGCTGCGCTTCAGCAGCCTCAGCCATTGCCTGACAATGAGCCTCATTTGGACCTTGATGCAAAACCACCTGTGAATCAACCTCCTGAGCTTCCAAATCACCCTCCTCATTGCTCACCTTCTCCTGACTTGCCTATTGCACTGAGACGCCCTGTAAGGGCTAGGAGACCACCTAGACCATGGTGGCTTCAACACAGACAACCTACTCCTGCCATTGAGAGTGATGACAGTGATTCTGAGGCAGTTGATGATGAAGTAGCACACTTTGGAGACTCTGCTGAGCCTAGGTCGTTTGCAGATGCAATGAAGCGTCCTGATTCAGATAAATGGAGAGAGGCAGCCATGGAAGAGCTTCAAGCTCATGAGCGCAATGGTACTTGGTCACTAGTGGAACTACCTCCTGGAGTCAAGGCTATTGGTGGCAAGTGGGTCTTCAAGATCAAGCGCAACTCAGATGGCACTGTTGAGCGCTACAAGGCCAGATATGTGGCCAAAGGTTATAACCAGCGCCCTGGCTTTGATTTCCTCGAAATATTTGCACCTACTGTCCGCATATCGTCCATCAGAGTTGTCCTTGCCATTGCAGCCATCCACAACCTCCATTTGCGCTCCATTGACATTTCCCATGCATTCCTGAATGGAGTCATGGATGTCAAGGTCTACATGCATCAGCCAGAGGGATTCCATCAGGGTCCTCGCAATCTTGTTTGCCAGTTGGACAAGGCCATTTATGGGACAAAGCAGGGAGGCAGAATGTGGAACCAGAAGATGCACACTGTGCTTGAAAAACTCGGATTCAAGCGTACTTATTCAGACTCTGCCATCTATGTCTTTAACAGAGCTGATGTGCGCATTATCCTGCCTGTCTTTGTTGATGACATGACACTGGCATCCACTTCTACTTCTGCACTTGACCAAGCTGTCAAGGACCTCTCCCTGCACTTTAAGCTTCGTGATCTTGGCCCTACTTCTTACCTACTTGGCATTTCCATCACTAGAGATTTAAGTAATTGCACCATCTCCCTCTCCCAACATCAGTACACTCTGGACATTTTGGAGTGCTTTGGCATGAAGGACTGCAAGCCTGTGTCCACTCCCATGGATCCTGGTTTGCGCCTCACCAAGGACATGTCTCCCAAAACATCCAGTGATGCTGCTTTGATGAAGGACATTCCCTACCTTGCTGCTGTTGGTGCTCTGATGTATCTGGCCACTACCACTCGTCCTGACATTGCCTTCACTGTTGAAGTCCTTGCCAGATATAACTCTAATCCTGGTCTTACTCACTGGAGCGCTGTCAAGCACTTGTTCCGCTACTTGCAAGGCACCCTTGATCATTCCCTTGTCCTTGGTCCTGATCCCAATTCCACTGAACTCCTCACCACTTTCTCTGATGCTGATCATGGTGGTGACAAGGACTCTGGTTGTTCTACTGGTGCCTATATTGTCAAGATGGGATCTGGTGCTGTCTCCTGGAGCTCCAAGCTTCAGAACATTGTTGCTCTGTCCACCACTGAAGCAGAATACATTGCTGCTGTTGAGGCTGGCAAAGAGATTTGCTGGATGCGAAATTTGTTGAAGGAAATGGGCTATCCTATCACCTCTCCTTCCACCCTTCATATTGACAACCAATCTGCCATCTCTGTATCCAAGAACCCTGAGCACCATGGTCGGATGAAACACCTTGATCTGCAATGGCATTGGTTGAGAGATGTTGTTGACTCTGGGCAGATTGCTCCTACCTTTGTTCCCACTGCTGAGATGCCTGCAGACTTGTTGACCAAGGCTCTTGTCAAGCCTAAAGTGGAAGTGTTCAGGAAGATGATGGGACTTATTAGATCAGGGGGGAGCTGATGCTTGGGAGGTGCAGCATCAGGGGGAGTGTTAGTTTTGGTGATTCTGCACCTTTGTGCTACCTATATATTTTCATTCCTTTCTCTATCTATTCTTCTATCATTCACTATTGATTGTATTCTCTATTATTTTGCCTTTGTGGCTGCTTTGTTTACCTTTGTTTACAAAACTTCGGAAAGTACTGCAGAGTCCAATGCTTCCTATTCTCTAGTTACTCACATTGGACTCTAGGTACTGTATACCTGTCATACTCTCTAATAATATAGTTACTCACATTGGACTCTAGTTCCAGTCCCTGATTGCTCTCAGCAAGTGGCTAGACACTTCCTTCAAGCTTTGTTCTTAATATTCATATCCTTGGAAAAGTGTACTTACTTGTGGACACAACAATGCTGCAACAAATCTCATAATGTGCTCAAGAAATATCTCCACATAAGACTCTTTGACCACTCTGGTGTGCGTTAGGTTCTACAATTGGCTGAAATATCTGTTCCGATATTCAATTATGGTAAAAGTTGTAGAACTGTCCATCCAAGAGTTGGCTATTGTGGCAAAAATTTAGGAACCTGAATGAGGAAGATACTGATAAGTGTTGAGAGGATGAGTATAGATTCAAGCGGGTCTCGGCAGAGCCTTTGTTTGCTACCTTGAGTAGAAAGTTTTCAGCCTTGGTCAAGCTAATCAGCTTGATATGGCAATCACAAGGCAGCAGAGCGGAAGAATAATCGGTAGGAGTCTGGAACAGGAAAAAGGATGGGTGCAAAAAAGCCCAGAATCTAACTCCGCACAACACGCTGGACATATAATATCTATTTAGCAGAGACAAAGCAGAACATCATGCTTGGACAAAAGAGAACCTTTGGAGTAACAAAACTCACAGGTGGCTCTCTTTCTGCTCCTGACGGATATATTTGCCAATTGTGGTATAACTTTGACCACTTTCGGATCGTCCAAACTCATTCATCGCTTTGTGTCACTGTTGCAGGCCAGGCATTTTGTTTTAGCGGGCTGTAATCTGATCAATCTGATCTACTTGGTTTTCTGGACATGTCATCTTTTTGCATTCTGGAAAATAGCGCTGGACAAAGGAACAACCTGATAAAAGACCCAGCTTTCATCTGGTTGTAGAGTAGTGAGCACACCACGATGCTTATATCCCTAACCACGCCATTTATCATGAGTCAAATCAGCACTACAATCGAACCAAAGGATGACCATATCAACTTTGTTCTCCCAGGTCGTTTGATTGACCCCAATACTCATGCAAAGTCTATGCTGGCTTGTGCTTTTTTATATTCACGTCACTGGAACCCACAAAACCTCAAATACCACTGGTATGGGCCATGGTCTTGCATATTCCACGACCTCACCCAAGACATACTCTGTCTTCTTCCCATTCCCCAATACCCCCTGTACTTCATCTCCAGTTACAATGATCCTGCCGCTCGTCAGCCTGGTGAGGCTGTAGACCAAGGCAACACGACTTTGGATTCAATCACCTCCACGCACATCTCACCTGACTCTTCTGTCATCCCGGATTTTGTGATCACCCGCATTGTCTATTGTATGAGGGATGATTTGGTGATCAATGACGAGCTAGTGGGATGGCGGGCAATCAAGATTTTCTACGCAGGGATTCCACTCATCTGTAAAATCAAACGCGGAGCAAAGCGGTTCTTTGATGTTGACAAGTGGCTGAGTTCCTCTGGGCCCCTCATGACAGCCACTCACAAGGATGTTGAGAGGCAAGCCGCTCACTTGTTTTTGATGTACCTGCACCAGCAATCAGTGATACTTGTGGCTGCCAGTGGAATCTGGTGGTCTTACTGCATTGTGAACAGGCAAGATATATTGTTAAAGGAGGAGGATTCAGGCTCGTTGGCGCAAGTGGGTGAAGTAGGGGGGGACAACAAACCCGATCTAGAAGATATCCCAGAGGACAACAATGTTCACGGCAACATCCCTGCAGTGATGGAATCAGGCACTAACTTTGACACTGATGTTCCTCTCGACTATCATTCACTTGACGACACCAATAAATCGGATGGAAAAGAAATCCACGTCAAGGGACCTGCACTGGAGAAGGTTCTCCCTCCTGATCAACTTCAGCTTCAGGAAGGTCATTGGTCTGGTTTTCTATGCATAGATGGGACTGCTTGAAACCAGGCATTTTATCTTATTCATAAGTGGTTGGAGGAAGTTGCCGCATCAACAAATGGTGCAAGAGGATGATGATGTAGAGTGGAACCCGAATGAAATGATGTATTTTTTAGTAGCTTCCTGTACACAATCAATATTGTTTCTTTACAAATCAGCATTAACATTTTGAAATCAAGAACTGGCTCAATTTGTATATTGTACACGTTTTAGTGAGTCCAAACCAGAGCCACAAGCTAGTAATTAGGAGAGGACAAAAACGGGAAGCCTTGCATTTTGGGGTCAAAAGATATGGGGACATATATTTGTTGCCTGGAAATAAAACTGGTCCAAAGATGTGGAGAGTGGCGACCGGAAAGATGACCAAACAGGTGTCCCTCATTCCGGACGATTATTGACGTTGTCTCGTCTTGGGCATGCTCACAATCCCCTTACAGGCAGGGTGGTAAGACTGCAACATATTCAGGCTAGCAATGGTGGTCTAGAGCAAGGGGTGAGGGTGGTAGTAAAGTGAAGGTCCAGAATGGGAAGTTAGGTCAATACTCTAACCCATTTGCCGTTGTCATTGTCTTATTCATTGAGCAATGCTGTGTAACCCTGTCGGTGATGTTGTGTTGAAATCGTTGTTGACGGCAAGTGTTACAATTGATGTACCAGTACCTACTTACACTTCACTTTTTGTATTTTTACTTTTACTTTTTCCAAGTCACATGACCAGTGTCTAGACTCATTATGTGACTGGTCACATGCTAAACATCGGACTTTGAATTTTATTTACAACTGTACAGTACCTCACGTATTTTAGTATATATACAAGAGTAATACATGGGGAAGGACTGCAGCGAGTCCTCCTGTTGTCTAGCACAACTAACTCACTGCAGCCTAAGGGGTAACCACTCCCCATCATCTTCTTTATAGTGTGTTCCCGTGTGCGCCAGAGTAAATAACTCTTGGTTGTTACAGAAGCAATACATGGGGAAGAACTCAGCGAGTTCTCCTGTTGTCTACCAACAACTAACTTGGTGAATCCTAATGGGTAACCACTCCCACCTCTTCCTCTTCTTTTGAGTGTTGTTTTCATTGTGTTCTAGTGCCCCAAGACTGTGTCTTGTTGGTGTTGTCACAGCAAGCCCTTCCCTCATACAACCGATCTCTCTATACTCCTTGATGTGGACTCGCAGGAACCATGTATGTCTCTGCTTGCGACCTACAGAATATCTCTATCTATCTTTATTCCCCCCTCTTTCTCTCCTCTGTCTCCATCAGGGTGCCAACCATTGTTGCCTTTGACTTCCATGGCATGAACATCACATTTGTCTTGCATACTATTTCGAGTTTGGCCAGTTGCGCCACTGATTATGATCACGTACACCAGCTTTTCCCTCATCATTGTCATGGCTGAAGGTGGGCTGTAAAATGTTATAGAAGATGAACTGCTCTCTGATCACTGGAATCAAGATGGCCAATCTACAAGGTATAACAATTCTCAGATTGTTGACATGCATACTGCACTGGAACATGTGGAGGCGGATGCGCGAAGCTCAATCAAGGGTATTGATGCCACTGTTTTGGGTCTTCAGCGTTCGCTACAGGACACCAAAAAATCCACTGTTAGTTATTCTTTGTCTCAATTAACGTTGACTCTGAACAATATGTAGATCAGCGCTTCTCAATGATTAGTTGCACTCGAGGAATTTGTTGCATCAGACAACAACAAGATTAAACAAGCCATCAAGAATGTGCACTATCAGTTGAAGCTTATCAGAGGCACATTAGGTATATATCTCGAAGCATGTGCTGCTAAGCCACTTGTGTCTTTCTAATGTCCTTTTTGACCAGGCAATTTGGAAAATTAAATCAACTTGACCGACTAGAGGGAATCCATAATGCAGTTTTGACTTTGTCATTGTCAATGACTGAAATGCAGAGGCAGCAGAAGACTCTTCTAGAAAACAGTGCGGCTATCATTGAGCTTCTTACTTCTCAGACACCACATTATGTTGGTATTTTTGACGCTATCAACAACCTTATGGCTCAGCTTTCTGTCTTTCAAGCCTCCATGACAATGTGACAACACCAACAAGACACAGTCTTGGGGCACTGGAGCACAATGAAAACAACACTCAAAAGAAGAGGAAGAGGTGGGAGTGGTTTCCCATTTGGTAGGAACAAGTTAGTTGTTGGTAGACAACAGGAGGACTCACTGAGTCCTTCCCCATGTATTGCTCCTGTATATATACTAAAATACATGAGGTACTGTACAGTTGTAAATAAAGTTTAAAGTCCGATGTTTAGCATGTGACTGGTCACACGATGAGTCTAGACATTGGTCAGGTGTTGTGTCACATGACTTGGTCATGTGACTATGAAAAGTCGAAAATGTAAAGTAAAGTAAATGATCACATGACCAGTCACATGACTTGGTCATGTGCTGTGAAAAGTCGAAAATGTAAAGTAAAGTAAATGATCACTTGACTGGTCATGTGACTTGGAAAAATAAAAGTAAAAGTACGAAAAAGGTGAAGTGTAAGTAGGTACTGGTATGTCAATTGTAACAGACAAACAATTTGACGCAATTTGGGGACCTGATACAGACAGACCCTGCCGACAATTGTGATGGCTTAGAACAACCGCCAGGAGATTACACCCTATTGGCTGAGCTTCAGAGTTTGACGCAACAGCCTTTAGTTACTGCGTCAAATCTGCTCCTTTGAAGCCTGAGTTTAGAGGAAGATGTCATTATGAGCACAAATACCAGTGAGGCTCCTTTATGGTGGTCAGTATTGTTTGCCTATAACTGCCCATCACTGAGCTTTCTTGGTTGTTGAGAAAAATAGTTGGAATACTCGATCCTTAGGTGATACAAAGTATAGTATCTCTGGTGTGATATGCACACTGGTGGGAACCACTCTTGCTTTTGTCAATGACTTAAGCTTTCAGGCATGCAGGTTTAGGGTGTCATTATTTACGGTACTTCCTCCGGTGATTGAACACTGCCATATGTTATTCATAACTTTACTGATTCTGACTCTTGTTACCGTGATATTCTCTTACCTGCTGAGGAAGCTAAGTCGTAATTGGATGTGGTGGGCAGTCAATGCCAAAGTAGCGCATAATTGTATTCCCCTCGCTGATACCAGCCCCAGTCATGGCAGGGGCAATGATCTATGGCGTCTATATTGTGGCTTGTACAATTAAAAGTTGAATGCTCATTCTGATTATTTGATAATACTATGGATTCTCAGCCTGAATCTGTCCACTTTCTGGCTGATCTTATCTGTTTTTGTTGGCTAGCTGTCCTATATTGTGGTAATTCTTATCCTTGTCTCTGGTTTGTTGATTCATGAGCAATATTCAAAACTTCATCAGTCATATCTAAGACACAGGACTGACTATATTTTAGATGATTCAGCTAAGATTGATCTTCCATTGGAAAATCAAAATCTTATTCCAGAATGAAGCTCGCTTGTACATAAAAGGTGAGACTTATGTCTTGTGGGCTTGCATATAATTTCAAGTTCTTATAGCTATTTCACGGGAAATTGCAATACCTACACTTTGAGAGATGAGGGAGCAGGATTTGCCCTTTGTTGGCAGGAATTACTAAAAATACTGATTGGGTTCAAAAATGAAGATCAAGAAGTTGTCCATTTTGTGAGTGATACAATGGTCACAAACACTCCTGCTTGAAGACATGCACTAAGACTATCCTCCAAGGGCCATTTCGCCAAAATTTGACCGACATTTAGCCACTATGAAGTACAGGATATCAGTCACTCAGCTTTTCATATCTCATGCCTACATCAGCAAGGCTAGGGAGTCTTGGGTGGATGGCATCACACCTTTTGTCGCAGTCAAAGCTAGAATTGACCATTATTCAACACAAACCCTTTTACGCTACCGAAGTTGTCTTGAAGGGACTAGATTTATGGCCCCTGTTAGCAATATTGCTGAGCCCATGACTCACTCTACAAAGTGCATACTAACTCGTCACCCCCCTCCTCCCACTCTCCACACACCTATTCTTCACCGTTGTTGGCCTCGCATACTTGCCGAACGTATTCAACTGCAGCTGTGCCTGGTATGAAATACTGTCGTGCATGGCCTCAAATGCACAAAGGAGATAAAATCCTTTCCCTGACAACATTGTGCATGGAATTGAGGGACGGTATTCCCTGGTGTGTCACTTTGATTCTACAAGTCTTAAACTATTCCCTAATAATTGAATTACATTCAAGTTATCCTGGGTGTGCTACTGATGAATCCCTCGACAAGTCAGCATGCGCTAGCCTCACTTTTTCCCTCTCCACCAATCTCTTTGTCCGGCGGACAAGGTGAATTCTACCCATTCTTAAAACATTTAATGCATCAATTGTTACGATACACAATTTTCGGACCTTTAATTTTCATTCTCCCCTTTAACTTTATACTATAGTTTTCACACATTGTGCCATGCGGCACTTTCCATTTTGTTCAAACTCCACCTTCTCGCGCTACACTGCCTTTATTCTTATTTTAGCTACAAGTCTCTCACACAGTGGAGCTGGTCACGCGGGCTGCGCCCTCTGACATCATCAGCCACTGCTTTATCAACTGTATAGTACAACATGTACAAATAACCTGTAGTAGTATATATACCCCAATAGATCCAGGAGACTCCTCAGCGAGTCCTCCTGTTGTTTACCCACAACTAACTTGGTCCTATCCTAAGGATAACCACTCCCCTCACTACCTTTATAGTTGGTTCTAGTTATGCGCCAGAGTAACTAACTCTTGGTGGTAACATTAATCAACTTGTCATTGATGTTTATTACTAAAGTGGCATGGGTGGGATAGGAGGAAGTGGCGCTAACGCAGCCTTTGCATCACCTATCCCATGGTGAAAAGCAGGGGTAAGGTATAACCACAATGAGGTCTTATTGGACATAGTGAAAAATATGCAAAGTATAGTGGGACGGTAAGTACATGTACATAAAGGAGCAGTACAACAACGTGATTTGGAACAATAGCAAAGTGATGAGCACAGGTAGCATTAAGAAAATGAATATGATATGTTGTTGTAGGAAAATGTTGCCATGAACATGATTACCATAAGCGTCTGTGTAAGCCAGTCAGCATATATATCTATTGTCTATTATAGCTGGGAAATAAACCTCTTTTTAGCAGCTACTGGGGATCATCCTAGATCCGGAGTCACAAAAGTTGTATTATGATGTGAGGAGTTGACTACATTTTTGTGTAGTCTGAGCAATTTTAGGCGCCGTTTCTTTGTAACGATCAGTTCTATGTAGGAATTTTGAATAGTTGCTTAGACTCCCAGAGGGTGTTATAGTGTCAAGGTCATGTCCCTCGAGACTTTTCATGCGTGCTTTTCTAGCCACTGCAACTTCCTGTTGACATAGTTTTACGGTGGCTTTGTTAGCAATCAGCTTTTGGTGAACTTTTAGAAAAGATCTCTTCCACTGTTTGTAAACCCGCTTGATAGAGAAGGTTTGCCTGTGTGCCTCCAATAGCATTTGCTTTTGCCATACATACTTATTGGTTGTTTGAACATCTAGAGAGTGTACATCCACAAGATAGATTCTCAAGCAAAGTGCGCATCTCACAGCCATATGTCGTTGGGTGGAGGAAGCCAGTATAGCATTCAACTTCTCGGTTATGTTTTGTTATGAAAAGGTGAGGAGATGCCTCAGTGATGAATATTTCACAAATACATACTGTAGGTTGAGGACCAGTGCCTGAGAGAGGGGTAAGATCTCTATTGACATGCAGTTGTGAATCATGAGCAAACAAGGGTTGTGTTAAAAAAGGAACTTACCCAGTGTTGGATTTACCACCTGGCAGAAAAATTCTGCGCAATTTCTGCGGGTTAACCGTTTTCTGACACTGCAAACAGTTGAAAGGACCCTTGTGTGCGTCAACACAGACTTTGCAGTTCATATGACCTTCAGTTGTATCAGTTACAACTACTCACTTTCGAACAATGCTGTGACTTTACTGCATGGTGCAAGCATGGACCATTGGCTTTGTAAAAGAGGGTTCTTGTGTCCTGGGATCAAATAGTAGGCCATGGGAGAATTATCTGGACAGGGTAACGAGAAATGTGAGAGTCTAGGGATGGTAATAAGCAGTAATGTTTGTATAATAGTTAGTCAGACCCATCATAATTTAACGGACAGCGTACAAAGTCACAAACATGGTCCAGTTTTGCTACCAGCATTACAAAAAATATGCATCTCTGACCTGCATCTTGAAGGGCTTCAATGGTGTCTTACACGTTGTTCGGTGAGTGGAGCTCACCTTGAACTACTAGAGAAACAAGGAGAGGAGATTTCCTTGTGCAGTCTGGAGTTTTTATGTACCCTTGTTCGGCATGTTAAATGTTTTGGTAAATGAAGAAAATGACCAGAACTTGCTTGTATTATATGTATTAACATTTACACATGTAAAAACTTGGTTATCCTCAATGCCACAAAAAGTGCGTTAAACCTCACTCACCCTAATCCACTGTCAAGCCCAAAAACAATGTGACATATATTACATACTGATCAATTACTTCATAATAAAGAATAAATTTATCTGGCTATCTTCACTGTGATGCTTCAATGATAAATGGCTGTCTTGAGAACATGTGCTTTTTCAAAGGACTTAACAGATACTGCTATGTGGGAGGTTTTGTGGTATAATTCATCTCCTGCCTACTTGAAGATAGATCTTGGTGCAATGATGCTTGGATGTTCTCTAAAGCTCTTATGCTGGTCGATTATTTATATTTCACATAGGGGGCCACCAAAAAATGACAGTATGGAAGTATGATATCCAACACTGTGCTGACTTGGTACTGTAGATAACATACATGAGGGCTCTAAGTCCTTGGTTGAGACCCAAAGTTACTAGATTTTCTGTCATACAGTGTAAGACCTTTTTGGAAGAGATGATAACCATACCATGACAAAACCGGATAAATGTGGTCTCTGCTAAAGCAGCCATTGTTCTTCATGGAGTCATTATACTGTAGCGAGTAGCACCTCTGACTATAAGTAGTAGGGGGTTTAGTGTAGGAATATCTCAGTGGTTCCTATAGCCTCTTAGGCAGTGGCTGAGGTATGTTACATTACACTTATTAGAGATCACCTAAACTAACATCTAATGTAGTTTCACTTAGGTAAATAATAAGGTCGTTTCTATAGCCTCTTAGGCGGCAGCTGAGTTTGACTTAAGTTTATTATACCATTCATCCCTAATCTGATTGGCCATTGAAATCTAAGTTATTTTTTGACTGTCATGATGACTATCAGCATTCATTTCAACTTTGGATTTGTCACCACCTTTACCAGGAGGTGGACGTGGTGCTCCATCTTTACCACCTCAGTGACTTTACTGTGGTAATGTGGCATTAGGATGATCCTAGGATATGATGGGGAAATGTCCAGATTCGATGGGATTGATCCCAGACTGCATAGAGATAATTCCATGGTATGGTGTGGAAATGTTTAAATTTAACTGGAATAATCTTGGACTGTACATGAATGATGCTATGGTATGGTGGGGAAATGTCTCGATACAACTGGAATGATCCTATGGCATAGAGGGGATATGTCCAGATCCAACTAGAATAATCCTGGACAGTCTCAGCAAGGCATCAGGAAAAACCCTTTTGCGCGCTATATAGCCACCACCTATATATATAAACACATTCATAGAAACTATAGTACTATCAGTGCAATCATAGCTCTTATAGCTTTTATAGCACAGTATCAGGCAATTTTAACCAAGGGGAGAAGTATCTATAATTCCCTCAAACTCTGGATTAATCTAATAAACTTGTTCAATAATAGAAAGAGACCAGAAGTGTTTGGAGTTAAGTATATTATTATAGGCAAGGCACTATAAGTGCTCTTATAGCCTATAGCAGCCTACATAGCTCCTATAGCTGTAAAGGTCATAGTTAATATAGTTCAAGGTGCTTAAAAGGACTAATAAATCATACAGTATTAATTAATTATGCAGCCTGTATTAGTGAAATAGTAGTTTGTATCCCTGATACTCACAAAATAAGAATAATGATTTATCCAAATATAAGTAGTGAGAATGAGTAAAAAATAATCTAAGTCCATAAAAGGTCAATATATAACACCTGTATGATACATTTTATAAGCTCTCATGGTGTAGTGGATAAATGTGATGTGTGACTATAGGTTGCTTAATCACCCAAAAGCTGAGTTACAGGTTGAAAGTTCAAATCCTGTTTGTGTTAATTTTTTTTATCAGCCACACAATAATTTCCAACATCAACATCTATAAGAGCATTTATAGAGCTAAATGAGGCTCTATAGATGGCAGAGGTTCTATAGCAAGTTTGACCACTATAATAGCTTTATAAGTACTTATAGTGCTATAGAGCTCTATATAGCTACCCCCATTTTTCCTGATGTGGATGAAATTATTCCAGTTAAATCTGGACACATTCTCACCATACCAAATCACAGCAAGGGACAGGATCATTCCTATTAAATCTGGAAATTTCCCAAATGTACATCATTCCAGTACAATCTGCATAAGTCACAGCAAGGGACAGGATCATTCTCATTAAATCTGGACATATCCTCATTATACCACAGGATGGTGGGGGGAAATATCCAGATTCAAATGGAATGATCTTGGACTGGACTGGGATGATACCATGATTATTCTAGTTGGATCTGGACATATCCCCCCTATGCCATAGGATCATTCCAGTTGTATCCAGACATTTCATCACCATACATGGATGATCTCATGGCACAGTGGGGAATTACTGATTCAACTATTGCACAAGTTATGATATTAAGACATCAACAAAAACCTAAAGCTGCAGGAGAATTTGGATTATCAAGTGTACTAAGATAATCCCATAGTATATCCAGATTTAACTGGAATGATCCTGGACTGTACCAAAATGATCCCATGAATAGTGGGTGATTCTGCCCCCCACTGGGATTTGTCCAGACTGTACCATGGGATGATAATGCAGATATACAACCTTTAGACTAAAAGGACCCTTTATCTGCTTCTGCATTTTTGCTTATTTCCTTTCACACCCACATGATTGAAATCCACAATCAGCATCTTTGGATCCACACTCTTAATTTTTGAATCCAGTGGACACTGTATTTGTTTTTACACCAAGTTGGTGATGTTTTTCAGGACAGCAGAAAAAGGAAACTCATCACAAGAGACAGTATTTGCTTGAGATGCTCTAACAGGGGGTGAGGATGAAAAACAGACTATATTCTTGCAGTTTGAATTATACCAGAATCTTTCACTCCTTCCACTTTATCACTGATTTCTTTCCTTCTACAGAATTTGTGTGAGTATTCCATGCTCTAAACTGGGCCACTACTGACTGACACAGAAATGGATTTTTCTTCTTATTTATATTTGCAGATTGGTGAAATGTTAATATTATTTTAAATTGGCTCTAAAATATAATATAGTGTTCATTTAATATTTTGCAAGACACTAGATGCTGACAAAATAATAAGTCTAATTTCACTTCAATTATTTTAACACTTCAGGCAGCCAAAAAATTGGGGCTTTTAGCTTGATCATCCTCACCAAAAGGTTGGGGCTAAGATCCCCCTTTTCATGGTCTACCTATAGCCATTAGGGACCAGACCTATTTGACATGGGACAGTCCCATCTATTTACATAGGTCCTGTCCCTATACATAGGAATATCCCTTTATATGGTGTGTTATTTGTAATCACTTATTTTATTTTCTCATAATCATATCCCAAAAACACACCTACTCTATTATCTTTACATTTTGTAATTCTCATTAGCACACATAATTTAATAATATTTTGTCCCACCATCTTTCTGTGAAAACTGTGGGAAATAGTTGATGAGAGCAAGATTAGTCCAGCAGGTGATACTGCCTTAACAAACTGGAAAAATGCAACATGAATAAATATACTTATATCTGGTTTCTAGTAGATCTTGAATAACTTGAATTTCATTGACAATAAGAAATTAGGCTATATAACTATCTCTTATCTAAAGGCAGAATATGGTAAACTACCCAAATAACTTTTCAACAAGTTTTTGACATTTAGTCTTGTTACTTGGTGAATACATAAATATAGTTCACCTATATTGTCTTGTTTGTTTCTCTCTACTTGTTAACTCATCAGTTAAAATCCAACACTATTTTAAATTTTATCCCAAGTGAAGAAAGAGCCTATGCCACACCATGTATTAAATTATATATTCTCCCACATGTATAAAGGTCTCATTCTATTTGCACTTGAACATTGTCCCACATGTATAGAGTAATGTCTTATCCCATATCACTGTGGGGATCGACTTATATAAGCCCAGCTTATATGCTGAAAATATTCAATTTTAGCTTTTTTCAGCCAATCAAAATGCAGTGACAAATAAGAGAGTTACTTATTGCATATATTAGTGTCTTAGTATCAAACTAGTCTAATATATACTGATATCTGGGATGTGACCTACATAACTACCCCATATACACAGCTAAATCCACTTGGGATAACTTCAATAAGCCTAACTTGAAATGGCCTGTCCCATATTAGATTTTAACATGTGACCTCTAAGTGTCACCTGACCACAGGGAGTGCATAAAAGCAAAGTGGACCAGCTGGGGATTGAGCCCAGGACCTCTACCTATATATAGTGGTGCTCTACCAACTGAGCTGCCAGCCTTTGTCCAATACCAACTCAGGATGTATGTTGTCTAACAAGGCTAATAGGATTTGACCTTGACTATTCTAATATCCCAACCTTTACTTGTCAGCTTTGATCATCTTGTAAAGTCTAATGACTTAGCACTTGGGAGCTAACAGGCACTAATAGTAAGTGAAGAATGAGGATTTTAGCAATGACAAAGACACTGGTGGAGAACAAATAGAAAGAACTTATCTGAGTGAGAACATTTTGCAGATGACTAATAGTTTCATCAACCTGACTGGCAAGAGAAGTAGCATAAGCAAAAAAAGTGCTGTCCTAGTTTGAAATCAGTGATAAGTTACAGCTGATTTGGAAAATGTTAGCTGTGCCAACTTTGTCTCTTGCATCCGTTCTAGCTTAGTAATATGATCTGAATTTCAAAAAAAAAATTAAGGTGGAATCTCTAGTATGTACTATAGCGTGCTGCAGCCTGCAGTCTAGCATGTTCTTTGTAGTATAAAGTCCCTACTCTTTGCTAATGAGAATCTCATCACATTGTTAGGTGCTGCCACTGCCACTCTTTAGAAATGATTCCTTACACTCAAAAATAAAGCTCCCTGCTGCCGCCATGTCATGATCTTGCTCCAAGGTTGTAAGTGCCATTTTACCCTTCTCATTTTGTGAATCATTGACTTACAAGCTAGTAATAGTGATCCTAACACCATCCCTCCCATCTCGATCCTCCAAGATATGCCCAACAGTGAGGATAGCCTGGATGAGGCCAATATTCAAGCCATCTACCCACCATATCCACTGGTGCATTGGCCACCAATCAAACCCGCTGTTCTGCCAATTGAACTGGCCATTCTCATCCCTCTACCCCCTGCTCCTGCTCCAGCCCCTGTCTGTTGCACAGGCCACTCAGATTGAAGGCAAAGACGAGCATGGTTGGGAAGTTGAGGGTGGACTGACTACGGAAAAGGTGATTATAGTCTGGTGTACTAGTTTAGCATACTCATCACAATGTTTCAGCGGAAGCTAGACGACGAACTAGAAGATTTAGCTAGTAAAATACTGAACAAATAAAAGCCTGGCTTGTGCGTTATGCATAAGAGCATCGCATGTTTCCACCACCAGGCTAGTGACCTACATTTGGGACTGACACACCCCCACTGTATGGTTTGGGCCGCTGCTATATTGAAAGGTGATGCTACACTTGAAAAAGTCCCTACTGGATCACTGTCGTTCAAAGCAAAACAAGCGTTGAAGGTACCTACCTTGACAGAAAAGAGGCCCCCCCCATCTCCTGCTGCAAAAACTACCATCGCACCACTCCCATCCTCAATACAATTTCCCTACTTCAATCCATCTGCTAATCCTCTTGCATTCTCTCCATTTGTTGGTTACAACCCTCTAACCGCTTTTCCAATGGGATTTGGTATGCCAATGGGTGGAATGTGTGTGGGAATGAGTGTGGAAATGGGTGCAGGAATGCGTATTAGTCCAGGAATGAGTATATGGGCATGGGTATCCATGGTGTAGAGTCGCATTTTGTCAGATCCAGCCCACAAAAAGAAGAAATTGAAGAAACAAACCATTTGTCATCCCCGCTAATCGAATCTTGCAGCCTCTCGTTGTTTTGTGAGCTGTATAAGCTTGGTGAAGATGTCAAAATCAGCTTGGATTGGTTGGGTTTCATGGTGGGAGACAATCTGGAGGCTGTGACAGAACAACAGCATAGGGAAGCAGGATTCAAGCCTCTCGCATGGGCTCGTGTTTTGAAGGCCTACCGTAGATATAAGAAAAATCACCATATTTATTCTTACATACACTCATTTACACTCATAATTGGACAATACAACATTGTTTTGTGCATTTTTACACAGAAAATGGCCAACATACACTAAAATACAGTTTCTACATTATATCCGGAGTGCGTAAACCACTCTTGAGCCTTGTCAGCTGTCACAGTATGTGCAGCCTCAAGCAAAGCGACTTTGGGATACTCGTGTTCTTGAATACGAACATAGTTATAGCGGATCCAGCTTTTGACTAAAAAAACCAAGTGTTAGCCTAAAATGCAAGCTAAAAAGAGAAAATTGTACCACAACTAAAGCTCTCTTCAATTGAATTCAAGTTTGGGGAGTATGGCAGCAAAAAGATCAACACACACCCTACACTTTCTACAACTTCATGGATAGCGTTCATTTTGTGTATTGCACAGTTGTTGAGTATAATGATGCTTTTATCTTGAGGATACGGGTTCATCACAGGCAGCTATAACATGTTAGAATGATGAGGATAAGTATAAACAAATAAAATGTACCACATCATTTACAATAAAATTAAAAAAATCCTTACCATTGACAGAACCGTGGACTACGTTCATGGCCAGATATCTGTTGAGTGTAAGTGCTGCTACTAAGCTGTAGTGTTCTCACCAAACAAAATTAGCCTGAACCGCAGCACGACGACCTTTGGGCACCCGTTGTCATGCACCAAAGTTGATTGGTAGCATGGACAGGTGTCAATAACGAAGCAAATATTCAAGAAGACTCGCCTTTGCGCCACACAGGCACAGTGCCACGTGAAATAGCAATCCAGTCACGCTCACCTTTGCTTTTCCATTCGGTACTTTCCGCATTTTGGCATTTTGGCAAATTTTTGCATCGCCACTGGCTACACATTGCATTGCGCCCTCGTTTTAGTTGTTTCCTTCACTTCCCTTCCTTTGCCTAGCCCCACCATGGGCCCCTTCCTCTCCTTTTTATTCTCACCTGACGGTTGTTTCTGGATCCCCATTCTAATCCACCTTTTTGTCACCTCCACCCTCCTCCTCCTCATCTTATTTGCATCCCCACCATTTCTGATGTCACCACTTCCTATCCGCTTCTATCGCCAATCCGTTGACTACCACGTGCCACTGCTGATATCAGCAAAGCCCCGGCGGCCAGTTCAAATAGGGCAACAGGTCCATTGATCTACCATCATATACTATCAAAACATTGGTCGCTCATCTTGCCTGGTTGGAGAGTGGGTGGGTAGTTTTTGAGCTGGAGAAGGTTCATCCCCTTGCATTTCCTATTTTCATCGCTGTCCCATTCACTTGGGTACACTTATCTTTTGTCCATCGTCTTCGCTACAGCTACACCTACCACACGCTGCCTGGGACTCACTTGTTCCAAATTGGGACTACTCCTCTCCCTCCCTCGTTTGACCAGGTGGTCCAACACAACAAGTCCATTGGTGAGGCCATGGAACTGTCGGATTTGGACTAGGTGGTGGACCGGTGGCTCCAGTTTCTTTTTTTTCAGCAGAACATTCATTTACAGTGCGATTATTTTTGATTTTTGAATCATTTTTATGGACACATATTTTTTAGAATGCCTAACTGACAATAAAGGAACTGTGTTAATACTGATAGTTTTTTGCCTTGCCCTTTTCATACCTGTATCTTCCCATGACATCTTGATTTTCCTGCTCTCTTTTTGCTATTGGACTTTACTTTATGGCTGTACAAACCTGTGACATTACTCACAGCATTCATTGTTCTATCCCTTTCTTTTCCTTTTTTTGACAATCTTATCCTGTACTACCTATGCAGGATTTGTCAGCGTACATTCTTTCCTTCATGTTCTTTCTCATTCTTTTTGCACAGCTATACTGTGCATAGCCTACTTTTGTTTTACTATATAAACCCCTGTATTTTACCTTGTAAAGAACAAGAACTCAATTCCAGACTTCTTCTCTAATTTCAAGTTCACTACTCTGCTGCTTGTGATCCAGTGTGGTCACAACACTTCCCACTGCTACTACTGTCAACTGCTGTCATCGTCACTTCCCATTTTTGAAGTCATTGTCATCCCTTTCGATCAGAGTCCTTCTCAGCACTACAGTTTGTGCGTCAGGAGCCTGCTATTACTGGGAACCTCGTCATATTGTCGTTCTCAAACCTACCTTGTGCTACAATTAGCAAGGTAGTGCTCATCTATACTCGCCACAAAGCCCCTATCTTTCTATATTCCAACTATCCCTCCTCCTCAAAACCCACACCCATACATCTCTGGGTTTTACTTTGAAGGATCCTCATACATACCACCCCACGAACAACCAGAGCACCCACTGTTCTAGGAGGCAAAGCCCATAAACAAGTTCCGTGGAATCTGGGAGGATTGTGTGTTAGTTTGTTTTTGTGTGTGGTTTTCTAACAACAGTTCTCATCATTGACACCGTCTGTAGTGTTGATAAATTGTCCGGTCATCTGCTGGTTTTGTCAATCATGGCAAACCGGCCGGCTGTAAAGTGCTTGTGGGCCTTTTTCTGAGTGGGATTTTGTACTGCACTACTGATAGACCTGAGGATGGATATGACACAAAGGAGACAAACTGCATGGGGTACATTTTGTGCATCCCCTTTAGCAAGGAGATTGTGGATGTTGTTGGCTAAGAAGCCATCCAATTAGGAGAGATGTTGGGCAATAATTTTATGGGTGATAAAAAAGTCACCTATCACAATTCCTTGAGGAGAGCAGATAAAAGTTGCATGTCCTGAAAATAAATCAGAGACATGATTTCAGAAACAAATGATAACACTTACGTTTGATCAGATGCTTTGGGTCACTACCCATACATCAGGAAAAACACTTTGGCTATATAGACTCTGATAGTGCTATAGTTGCAAATATAGCTGTCATAGTGATCATAGCTGCAATAAAAACCCCAACATCAGGAACAATGTGCTAGTAGTGACACCGGCCGGGATTAGTGAATAGAGCAAGACCATGACACATGAATAGCAAATAACAGGCATGTCTTCAAGTTGAGTTGCCGTCTGTTAAGAAGCACCAGATTTGCCCATAGTAAGCTTCTCTATCAGCATTTTTTCCATAGTAGTTGAGGATGGCTTGATTGAATACACAGCACCCGCTGCTGTGTTGGCTTTACAAGTTGGCGAGACAAGCACTGGTAATAGATTATAGTAAGTGGGTGAAAAAGTGGCTATACTGCCACTGTAGCTTCTTTTCCATAGTGACAGACAGAGTTTTCACAGACCACCACATCAGATATACGAAAGATGGAATCAACATCAATGATCTTAAGATCAACACAAGCAGCATGGTCATGGCAGAGACCACCAACTGCATTTTGTGCCTTGTCATAATAGGCAGTTTCCATGAACCTAGCAAGTCACACAACTGACAATGTGTGAGAAACTTATATAGAGTATGGGGTGCTGTGGTGTGAGCATAGTTCTCTATTTCTATCCGTGCTTTTGTTGTCTATGCTTCTAGACATGCAGCACAGGCATGTTCCTTGCCATTGAAGATTTGCATGCACTTGCTTGAACAAATCTTCCATCCTTCTTAAATGCACAAAATTGGTACCCAAGGCTTTTGGTATCAAACTCATGCTGGGTCCATGGGTAAGTTTTGAATAACATCCTGGGTGGCTAATTGAGTGGAACACCTTTGCAAAGTCCACCTGTATGTTCTCCGACATTTAGCCTTGCCTCCATCATAATTAATGGGTTATCAATTTCATTTGATGGTGATGGCATGAGCTCTTGTGTATTGATTGAATGTAGGCTAGAGTGCCAGCTTGAATTGGACCAACTGGTGGCACGGGATAACTTTGATGTCCTCAATAGGAGTGGTGTATCAGAGGGAGAGAAACTGTCACAAGCGCTTGGTAAGCTTATTTCTTCTTTTACCCTCATTTCCCTTACTGATCTATCTGCACCCCATGCATGTAAGGCATTACTAAGGCAGAAACTCAGATAATGGTGCAGTAGCAAATCAGCCATTGTTGTCATCCTAGGAATCTAATGTATTGTAATTGTCCTTTTTTTCTTGGACTGTGGTGTTGTTATTTTGAACTTACAATGTCTGTAGCATTCCTGTTGTTCTGTGAATGTTTTTGTGCTGTTTCTGACATCCAAAAAGCCTTCTTATGTATTTTTTTGCCGTATATTTATGAATCTACTAGTTTGACATTTAGAATCACTCCGTAGATAGATTCAAAAGAATATTATTGCAAACAGACTGAAATTTGTCACCTGCCAGTTGATATGTCTCTCAAGCTCTTGCTTCTAATTTCTGTCCTTTTAGTAAATCCCTCCCCATAATGGAACCACTAGCTACTTCCTATCCTTTTAGTGAATCCTTCCGCAATATAACTATATCAAGCAATATTGCAACCACTCAGTCCTGAAATTTCGAGGACAACAATAGTGCTTTCCACACATCCATCACATTCAATCATCCCTTTGCTCCTGTATATTCTGTATATCATGTATTTGCACTTATATTTTCTGTTGTGTGGTCCTCCTGCTCCGTCTCCGTTATTATTTCAGCTCACTCTCCCAACTCATCACACCTTTATCAAAAATCTGATCTCCTTGTGTCATTAAAAAACACTATTGGTAGGATTATGAGCCTCATTTCAAGTAAATATAACTGGTATAGTTGGTCAATAGCCTTGCAAGGTTGGCTCAGGTGCTCTTGCAGTCAGCAAAGATGCACGAGAGGCTCATAAGGTGCGTTCCAAAGAGGGTGGAGGCCGAGGGCCGAGGGCCTTGTGAGCCTTGCGAGGTCGGCTCAGGTGCTCTTGCAGTCAGCAAAGTTCCGCAAGATGCTCACACAGTTGGGTCACTCATGCTTGCAGGCAACCAAGGGGCTCAAAAGGATGTTAGTTTTGGTGATTCTGCACCTAGTTGTGCTATCTATTTTCCCTTCTTTCTAAATCACTTTCCTCCTTATTCTTTTTGCTGTATTGTTCAGTATTCACTGAGCATTCTATAATTTCGCCTTTGTGGCTGATTTGTTTACCTTTGTTTACAAAACTTCGGACTAGTATTGCAGAGTCCAGTACTCCTATTCTTTAGTTATTCATACTGGACTCTAGGTACCGTACACATTCTGTACTCTCTGATAATATAATTACTCATACTGGACTCTAGTTTTGTCCCTGTTAGCTCTCAGCAAGTGGCTAGACACTTCCCAGAAGTTCTCAATTGAACAAAGGATGGACCAGGCGGCCAAGGTTTGCGAGAGGCCAGGGAGGGTGAACTGGCCTTTTGGAGTCTTACTACCTGGTAAAGAACGTGCCAAGCTCATCGAGAGCCTCTAAGAGAAAGGCCCTCAACGCCTTTATTTCAAGTCTGTGCCTGAATAGAAAAGTTCGTTATTTCACTATCCTGTTAGCCTTTGTGTTTCTGATTCTGTCTGTAGCTTGCCTTATCAACTCAACCGAACCTGTCATCTTAGGCTCCTCACCCCCATTTGACTCTCGCAATGCATTTGGATAGAGGAAGTTGGCAAATCAACAGACTGACTACAAGGACTTACCATGCGGAGTAAATCTGTCCACAGCTCACACCACGAAGAGAAAATGCAAGTCACATAGTCAGCCAGCAGTCTAAACTATGAGTGATAAGGAGCCTAAAGAGAAGGGTATTGGAATTTCCCCTCCTGTTAAGCAAAAGAAGGTTGAAGTCCTGATACAATGCCGTTCATCACACATGGCCAAGAAGCATGTTTCCATGTTAGATTACCAGCAGGAAATGCCAATTACTGGTAAGCACAAGACTACATCAACTTAACATATTCTAATACATTTCCACAGTAGCACCCACAGCCAAGCCAAGCTTTCCCTCCGAGCCTCAGAAAACCCAGTGTATGATATGCGTGAACACTCTGTAGAGCGCCATGCCCAGATTCCCCTGGGTAGGAGCATTTTCTATGGGACGGAGGGTGGCTATTGCCATTCCAGCATCCCAATGCCTCAAAACAATCCATATTAGCAAGAACATATTGTCTATCAAGAGCTGGGCTTGCCATCTGGATTTGTCCACGGGGCTTATCATGATAGAGATATGGTTCTAATGCATGAGATGAGTCCGGCTATGTATCACTATTCTAATATAGGTCTACTCTGAGGCATCTACCACACAGGCCTCCAAACACCCTCTCAATATGCTCTGGGGCCGATTGATGGATGGCACAGAAGTCCAGTTCACGGCCCCTCTGTCAACAACCATACACACCAGTTCATACAAGGAGGGTTGCATGCTCACCCTCATGGTAGTGAGGCTGGAATCAGTGGGGGATCCCACCTCCTCAACCAAAGAAAACTAATAATACATGGTAAGTATGTACTCATTTTGCATTCCATTGTGCCGCAACTCCTCTATTACTGCTGTATCTCCTACCCACATAGCTATGCCATCTTATTTGTACCATGTTTGCTATGTATCATATATTCTTGTACTTGTATCAGCTATTTGATAAAATTTATCAGTTACTTGCTAGGACAAATACACTTATATGTCCCTTCAAAGGTATAAAAACATTGTATTTATTCAGACAAATATTGAGAGCACGTCGGAAAAAAGCTGGAAACATCCTTTCAGCACTATATTTTACAGAATATACATGAGATTGATGACTAATTTGAATAGAACAGCTACCAATATGACATACTATCTCAACAAGTCAAGGCTCCTGTGAAGAGGGATGTCAAGAGCCTCCACATGACTTATTAGAGATTGTTATATACTAGTATTAGTAAGCAGTTATAATCCAATCAGGATTTGGGTGGAAGCCTCTTTTTAGAGGCTGTCTCTCAGATGGATTCTCCCCTACAGGGAAACCCCATCTGACAATGCATGGGAACCTCTTGAGAGCACTGCCAAGGGTGCCTGCTGCCCAATTTGGACCGGCCACAGGGGCTTTGCTGAAATTAGTAGTGGCACGTGGTGGTTGACAGATTGGTGATGGAAGCGGATGGAGAGCGGTGACATCAGGTGTGGTAGAGGTGCAAGGAGGACAAGTGGGAGGAGGGTGGAGGTGACAAGGGTGTGGACTAAGATAGGGATCCAAAAATAACTGTCTGGTGAAAAGATAAAGGAAAGAATGACACCTCACACAAGGATTAAAAAGCATATCATATCCCCATTCAAAGTGGTGGAAACAAAGGGAGGTGTCAAAAAAACTGCTAACACGCCAGTTATGAAGTGTTGAAGGAAGCTGGAAGAAAGCAACAAGGGTGACTGTGCAGATGAGGCCAAATTGTCAACAATATGGGATAAGATGAGGGGGTTATCAATGCCAGGGATATCCTTTTCATGCTATTGGTATTTATGGTCATATAGTATCTGACTGTTATTAATCATCTTAAGCTTCTCTGGAATAAATAAGTGCCCATTAACACACATCTTGGAAGTTGCTCCCAAAAAAGAAGATGGACTGCTAAGTACAGTATAAAAATTAATCTTGTGGTATCTTTAATGTTCGTGAGTGTCTCACCTGTTTTTTGCTTCCACACCATCGCTGTGGTGAATTTCATATCTGGGGACAGATTCTTCAGTGCACACTACAAGTTAACAGGAGAGAGGCACTCACTGATCAATGCCAACCATTGCACACTCTTTTAATATACTACAATCCATGGTACATCTGTTTGGGGATACCTGAAATACATTGAGCAAGGCTATAATGTTTAAATGAATTCACAAGCATGGGAGAACAAGGGGACAGAAGAAGCTCACCTGTGTCAAAAGGACATGATATGTCCTCATATAATTTGTACCATCAACAATTGTAGCTGTTTGTTCTGGAAAATTTGTGAGGAAGGAGATGTTGCAGTGGAGGTAAGGGAAGGAAAAGACAAGCCATGCTGCTATGGCCATGAGATGGTGTGGTACTTTTGGGGCTACAGGTGTAAGGGCAAATATCAGACATTACAATTTTTTGCTATGACAGTGGGAAGAGGCACACCTTATCCATAAAAGCATGTAGTTAGCAACTTTCACAATATTGCATGCTGTGCTAAATAAAGAGTCTTGGTTTTTTCATTTAATGCCTGCATACAATTGGACTCTTCTCTGAGCTTTTTCCCAATATGTTGGTAAATGTGTCCACTTTTGAAAGGCCTCAAGATGGCAACACCAGCTAAAGATGCCACACGGAAAAGGTGAAGAGGCAAAAAATAGAGAAAAGTATGGTGTAAATGTAGACATTGAGGAAGTGGTGATTTTGGTGTGAGGCAAAATGGAGATTGACGTTGTAGTGTTATCCACATCTATGAGTGTCTCACCTGTTTTTTGCTTCCACTTGACAGCTATGATGAACTTCATAAGCAGAGAGGGATTTTTTAGCGCATATCTGAATCTGACAATGCAACAGTGCTCACTTGTCAATGCCAACCATTACACACTTTTCCAGTATGCAACACCTCACACAACCACCGTTTGGGGATACTTGAAGTATGTCCACCATGGCTATAATGTTCAAATTAACCCGCAAGTATGGAAAAGTGAGAAGGAAAGAAAAGAAGCTCACCATTGTCAAAAGGATGCCATATGTCCTCATACCATTTGCACAATCAATAGCCTGAGTTGTCTGTTTTGGAGGTTGTGAGAGGGAGGTGATGAAGATGTAAAGATAGGAAAAGGAAAAGCTGAGCTCCACTGCTCTCCAATGCTATGGAAATGGGATGGTGTGGTACTTGGGAGGTTGGAGCTGTAACAGGAACTATCCTATGCTATGGCCATTTGCATGTACAGTGGGAAGGAGACTACCTTATCCATGAAAGATTGTAGATACAACATCTGTAAGGAACAAAGAATACGGACAAGTGCTGGCCACAAGCAGGGGAGGAATTCAGTATAGTAGAGCTTATGGGGGTCAAAGTGCTTGCTAAGTATTTTTTGTTCATCTTGTCAAAGCATGCAGACAACAAAATTCTTCTCTGAATTATTGTCCTATATATTGGTTAATGCAGACAATTTTAAATAATCTCATAATTGCTACACCTGCCAATGATGTTGCACAAGACAGCATAATGTATACACTTTGTAAGGATCTGCAACCAGTGAGGTCCAAAATCACCTTTTTAAGAGATTGTCCTTGTACCTTGTAGTCAGTGTAAGCATAAGCAGGCAACAAGGGAAGTTGAGTGCATACAATGCTATATGACTTGCCAGATGCTATTCCTGTCAGGGTAGGAGTATATTTGAATTGTGTTGTACTGGGAATGATGGGCACAATGTCTACAGGAAGACCAGGTGACTACAGGTTAGTGCCAAGAATGTTGACATGTACACATTTGGCAAAGCAACAATTATATTCATCCACTGAGTACTTGATATCTTCTAGTATGCCATTGACCACTTTGCAAGATATTGCCATATTTTCAGTGACCATCACACACATCCCGCGCACAAGAAGGAGCTTACCCAAGCTGTTATGAGACATTGTGGAGCCTACCTCATCCCATACAAATTGTTGTAAGTTATTTTTGAGATGTTGTTTCTTCATCATGCCTTTGGAGTGGTAGACAATGAAACCATGCTTGGAATTGCAGGCAAAAAATTGAACCTTTTTATAGTTTATAGCATCTCTCAATACTTTTTTGCACACAATAACAGGTGCATCTTTGAAATTATTGAGTTCATCAGAGTTATGTGTGGACATGTATTGCATACAATGTTTATTTAAGATGTCAAAGTTGGACTCACCATAATTAGAACCATGACCCTTCTGTTCATTGGTCACCACACTAGTTCTATTATATGCACATCCCAACTAAATCCTCTGCAAGAGTTTGATAAATGCCCAATCACCCTGCGCACACCAGTCTTTCTTGAGTTTGCCGACATTGTTCACTTGACGCCACAAAAATGTTCCATTTAAAGATGATTGCCCATATTTGGTTTGAGCGGTATTAGGAGTAAGATGGCTAACTAATAAATACCCAGAAAATGTGGTCTCTCTAACCAGTTTAAGTTGTCCAAAGTCTCCTGTGAAGATGACATTGATTCCACCAAAAAATTTCAAAGCTTGTGCAACATCATAGACCTTGGCAAAAGAGAGGCAGTGAGATATGTTGCTTCACAGAGACGCTGAGACCATAGAGATCTTATCTATATTAAGATAATTAACATCTCTCCTTAAGTTTTTGAGTTTGTTTTGATTTGGCTTATGTTGCGTTTTAGGCAAAAAAAGTCAATGAATGTATGGTGGGTCCTTCTATGAGAACAGCAGCACAACCAGTAAGTGCACTCAAAATTAATTCATGGCTTGACTGACGCTTGTTAAAAAAGCAATGATTGCTTTGATGACATGGCTTTTACCAGAGCCCCCAATACCAGCAATGCACTACAGGCTTGGAGGCATGGAAGCAGGGCAGTTACAGAAGCCGGTGTTACTAATTCCAGCAATGGTGGCAGCACTGGTGGAACATGGCTGTGAACTCAAAAGGTTAGCCTCAAAAAGGAGCTGCCCACTTGGCTCCTTTTTAGCTCCGTTTCAAGGGCTGCTTTTTAGAGTCCTCAGCCACATTTAACCAATGCCACCAGCATTGC